TTCTCTATTTAAGAGTATTTTTATTTTGTTTTTTATTTCTTTTATTTCTTTATTTGTTTGGTTTCTCAAATTCCACATATCATACGGAATCTTATGGTATTTGCCTTTCTCTGACTTGTTTCATTTAGCTTTATACACTCTAGATCCAACCTTGTCATTGCAAATGACAATTTCATTCTTTTTATGGCCACTATATATTTTATAGTATATAGTTTATATATACTAGTGTATGTATATATACACGCACACACACTAGTCTATATATATATACACACTAGTACACACACACACACACACACACTCACATATACTGACATTGGGGTTGCTTCCACATCCTGGCTATTGTAAATAATGCTGCAGTAAATATAGGAATGCATATATCTTTTCAATCCCCAATATACCTTTTACATCAGTCTCCATCACTCTCCATCAGAGTGTGTTTTTCCAAAATCCAATCTAAGAGCACAGATAAATATAGATAAAAAGTTGTCTTTCCATTATTCTGAAATTGCTGTTAGGATCAAAATCTGAAGAAAAAACTGCTAAAAAACCCCATTCTAAGTTGAAAACCACAATGGAAGTTGTACCTAACCACATCCCCACAAGGCTTACAGAGAATGCATTTCCAAGAAGAAACCCAAACCCCATTTTCCTGCCCCTGACTACGACAACAGGAAGGTTAGGATAGGGAAAGTGCCTCTCGGAGAATGGTTTTCAAGATAAACTCTAGTTTTTGAAAGGGAGGAAAATAAATTTTCTCAGCCATCAGAACAAACCGAGAAAGCACCGGATAGTTTCTGGTAAATTCTGAAGTGTGTTAGAACTGTCACTCACACCTTCTCACATGAAGCTTGGCAAGCCATTCAAAATGCGGGGTCTGAAGCTCATGCTTCATGGAAAAAGGGGCAAGCTGACAGCATTAAGGGAGACAGCAATAGTGAAAGAGCCCACATTATCCCTCCTTGGCAGACCAGCATACATGAGTTTCCGGGTAGCTGATACGCATGAAGAAAGCAGCTGGCCTTGGGCCCTTCTGATGGTATCCCATCTAACAGGACCATGCCTAAGGTGGAAAATTCTACCATGTGAAGCAGATTTCCCATTCTAGGGCTTCTGAATAATCTACAAAGGTACTCTAGGAACAAGTCAACTTCTGGAAAAGGGGTATCATAACCAGTCAGTGTTGAGGGGCTAACCCCTGTGTAGGTACACTGGTACCTTCTTCCTTCTTTCTCTTGGTGGCATTATCAGAAAGGAAGGCAGAGAAATAAGACTGAGAATGGGAGGAATTTCCTTCCACTTCAGTCACTAGAGCTGAGGTCATTGCTGCACCAGGGGATGGTAAGATCTTATACAGCAGGAAGCAAGAGTTCAACATGGCCAAGTTAGGAGTAGCTATCACCAACAATAAAACCATTTCATAGGATTGCGAGTCCTCTGTAAATCTGGTAAATATACACACTTCAAGAAGTATTTATTCAGCACCTTGCCTTATACTGTACCAGGTGTTAGAGACACTATGATGAAAAGAAAGAGGTGGCTTGTGACTCTTACGGCGCACACACATCCTTGTCTCCTTTTGCCTGACTGTGTCTCTGAATCACTATGTCTTCTTCTCCCTCTGACAGACTATTCTTCAAAGAAAGTTAAGACATCATCATCCATTAATTACTGTTTATTTTTTTTAAGCAACATAAGGAAAATTTTCCCAGAACACATTTTGAGAAGCAAAGAGACTGACTGCGTTTTCTTACTTCAAGTACTATACATTAAATTCTGCCAACATTCCTTTCTCAACCACATTTCCCAAAAGCTTAGCACTTGGCCATAAAAGTTCACTCAAGTCTAAAATTTGGCATGCCTGACGGCAAAATCTTCAAATTTGCCAATTTGGCGAACATCTCTGTTTTGAATAACGAGTGGACAAACAGGAAAAAACTGGAGTGAAATGCTATAAATCATGGCATTATTTAGAGACAATTCATTTCATGGGATAATAGCAGGTTTAAAAGAAATTAACCCTAAATTATGGTAGATCTGTTATTAGATAGATTTTTTTTACAAAAATTGAAAACCTGCCTAGAAATGTAATATACAAATTTAAGTAATACACAAAGATCTGAGACTTTCAATTCTATTGAAAAATATTTTTGTATTATTTACACATGACTATTACTTAATTTCAGAGGACATTTTAGATTTAAGCAAAACAAAAATGACAAAACAAAAACTGCTATGTACATAGCATATATTGATATATATATATAAGTTATAAAGAATTATGTAGTATAATATCTTATAGTACAAGGAATTATAAAGATATATAGCACATACACTGATAAACTGTATAAATATATATACACATACACACATTCACAAATGTGTGTGCATATATATGGTACGAGAATATTTGGCAAAGAGCTTTTGGGAGGCTTTTGTTAGTTTTGTTGGAAATAATTACAGGCATGTGGGATTAAAAGATTTAATCCCATCCATTGATATACCTTGGGTAGCTGGGCTTGAGGTATTTGTACATAAAGGTAGAATCATGTTGGATCTGTAAACATCATTTGCAGGATGGATTTTCAAAAGTGGTGATTGAGAGAATTCCACAGAGAAAGCCAGTAGAGAATCTATACATGCTCTAAGACTCTGCTGCCAGGCAGGACTGAGGAAGGTTCTGTCCAAAGCACCGACCACATTGCTGCAGTCCTGCCTGTTTCCCACCCTTTCTGAAAAATGAAAACACTCTTGCAACTTTCCAGATTCCCTGTGTCAAACTATCACGCACTTGGAATAATTAGAAAACATTATCGTACCATTCTCATTTGCAAAGAGAAATCAAGTGTAGTTAGTAATCCTAATTTGCAAAAATTGGTTAAAAAATCATGTGATCCAGATCCCCACATTTTCATACAAGTACAGGAGCATCTGTCTGGAGATTCCATCTTAATGTGAGGTGAGCACAATAGAGCCCCGATGACCACAAATAATGGCGCAAACACTGGATTCTCAAGGCGGCCATAGTGTTTTGCCAAATCCCTCTTTAAAGAAGCATTTGGCACAATTCTCTTGTCACTCCTTAAGATAACTCAGAATTATAAAACCTAATTTAGAAGCTACTGTATATTGTATTAGTGATTCAGGAAGCATCTTTTCAAATGAGCTATGGGCATGATACATTTATTTCCATGATGACTGCAGCAAACCCAAATTTCTTTGAAGAAAAAAAATTTTTTTTTTTTTTTGAAGGGACAACCTTCAGATTTCACTTCATGCAGCCCGAAACTTCTTAGGCTTTACTCATCAAAAGCCATTATGTCATATGCCCTGCACGTGAGGCACATGACCTAGGACAACATTCTTAGAGGGGAAGTTTTTTTTTTTTTAATTAACATATAGTATATTATTTGTTTCAGAGGTACAGGTCTGTGATTCATCAGTTTCACACAATTCACAGCACTCACCACGGCACATAACATCCCCAATATCTATCACCCAGCCCCCTTCGTCCCTCCCACACCCCTCCTCTCCAAGACCCTCAGTTTGTTTCCTGAGATTAATAGTCTCTTATGCTTTGTCTCCCTCTCTGGTTTAGAGGGGAAATTTTGATACTTCCCAGGCTTGAAGACACAGTCGTCTCTAGAACAATCTTGATAATATCCGTTTGTGTTATATCAAAACACCTCTACCAAAAGATGAATCTCTACACGTGTAGTAGATGAAATGGAAAAATCAGACCTTAATACCATGTTCCCTTAAAAGCCAACAGGCACTAATGTTGCAAATAAAAAGGGAAAGAAATTTCCTCTAGTGATACTTCAAAGACTTTGCAACATCTGGAATTTGGTTCCATACAGTGTATTCCACTAAAAAGTAAGTATAAAACTATTTTAATGGGGCAAACAGGATTCAGGTTTCTTACAATGTGCTCTCCCTGGGGGAAAACAAATAACACAATGCATCTGACTAACCTTTCTGCACTTCAGCTGCATTAATTAACGTGTAGTCATGGATTCCATCATGAGCCAGATGAACTCAGTGCTACAGCTGTTTCCAGTGAGGGGGAAAATAGGCTTCCACATTTCAGATTCCCAGCATTTATATATCCAGGGAAAAATGTTTTATTGGCTGCCTTTGTGCCAGCATTATTGATAAGCATTACATATTAGTCATCCAAATAAATTCACGCACACCCTAGACTGTGATTAAAGTGTCAGTATCACATGAACTGGGTTAGCCAGAGCCAATGCCATAAAAACCACGTTCCTAACCCTTTTTCTTACATCAAGGATTAAGGAAGGGCTAACAAACTGATCAAAGAAGGAGATCATGACCTTGAAAAAAATTGTTGTTGAGTGAGTCAAACATTTAAGTGGAGATCAGGTACTCTGAGAGAGAAGGATGAAGATGACTAGAAAAAAATGAACAGATGTTGAAGAAATTTAACTGCAGGATCTCATGGCTTGGCACAGACATTCTCAATGCTAGAAGCCAAACATGTGGAAGTGGTTGGTTGGGAGCAAAGCTAAGGTACAAAACTTCAGTGCTTGGTCAGTCACTGAAAGAGGATTTTTGTTTTATTTTTAGAGCAAAGGTTCTGTTAAGATGCAAAGTGTGAAGAAATATGACGGTGAATCAGCTGGGCGACACATTCCACCTGGAACACCTTGCCAAATTTCCTATCACAGGAGCACTGTAAAACTAATTTTGTCTCCAATAGTTCTTTATAAACATTGTGTCATGACTGTTGGTCAGCTCTGGAGTCTCATGGACAAATGGATATCCAATAGTCATGGGGCCATGTGTGTGTGTATGCACACACAATCATTTGTAGTACAAACCTGAAATGATTACCCACGTAAATACTAACCAAATTGGACACTTGCCTTGTCAAACTAATGCTCTTAGCCGCAACTCAAGAAGAATAAAAGTTGTGTGTCTTCACTTTTACCAACATGGAATGGCAGTAACTTAATCAAACCAGAGAACTATCTTACCTGGAACTACTTCAAAAAGGAATTTTCCTGGGCTCTCCTCATTGCAGGGATGCTCAAGAACTTTATTTCCAGGCAGAAAAATAGTACCCTGTGAACACAAAGGCCCAAAACATCAACATCATCAGAAAGCAAACATTGAATATCATCATCATCATCATCATCATCATCATCAGTGAATATCCAAGGTGTATCTGTAATCCAGCATATAGGAATATGCATCAAACTCATTTACAGTCCCAACCATTCAAAATTCATGTAATAGAATCATATTCCTTCAACTTTTAATAAGTCTTTGTTGGCCAGCTAATGTGTATAAGACACTGTATTAGGTGCTGAGTTCATTTTAAGCACTGATTTATTAAATGCATTCTGTGTGCCAAATTTTTTACTGAGCATTCTACCAACCATCATATTATTTAACTGTTAGAATAGTCTTATAAGGTAGGTATTATTTTCTCCATTTTACAGCTGTGAAAACCAAGGCAGAGATATAAATAACTTAGCCAATGTTATCAGAGCCTTCTCTTGATTATTCCTTCTCTTTTCTGTTAGATTTCTCTTTAATGTATTATTTTCATTAGTACTGAGACATACTTAAAATTCTATCCTATTGAAAAACATTACTTTGACTCCCCCTCCAGCTATCACCTTTTTTTTTCCCTTGCCTAGTAAAGAGTTGCCTACATTGAATCTATTTCCTTACATGTTTCCACTGTAGCCTGGTTTGTGCACCCACAATTCTAATTACATGATTCTCACAAGCTGTATGCTTGACATAAATTATGACTTCCCAGGAACCACTCTTTCTTGAAGCACCTTCTTTCCTTGGTTTCTTAGTTTTAACTAGGTTTTTCTCTTAGTTTTCTGTTGAGTCTCTTTTGCTGGTTCCAAGTGTCTTTTAGATAATAAAGTGTTTCAAAGATGTATCCAGTGATTCCCTCTCTTCTGACTCTGTTCTCTCTTGGAGCTGTCTCATTCATGCCTATGACTTCGATAATCAACTATAAACCAATGAACATCAGATTACTCTTTCTAACTCAGTGCTCTCTGAGCTTCAGAACTTTATGTCCAAGAACTCATTTGAATTTCCATCTGGATATCTCAAAAGCACCTTAAACTAAATTTAGTCAATTTAAATGCAATTATTTTTTATCCTGTTTATGTATTCCCTAGCTTTGTGACTGGCATCTTCTTCCAATCAGTTGCAAAAGCCAAAAATGTAGAAGTCATCATTTCTAGTATATCACTACTACCACTATTCCCTAGTTCAAGTGCTTATTGTCTGCAGTCTGGTATACGGTGTGTGTGTGTGTGTGTGTGTATATTTTAAGATTTTATTTATTTGAGGTTGGGGGGAGAGAGACCACAAGTGGGTGGCAGAGGGAGAAGAACCTCAGCCGAAGGCAAATGCTTAATCAAGTCACCCAGGCACCCTGTGGTCTGGTGTGTTTCAAATTCACTGAATTCCCCGTAATACTCAAAAATCTTTCAATCCACTTTTTTCCTTAATGCAGTCCAAGTAGCTTTAGAAACAGAAATTTCACCTTGCAATTTTCTTGCCTAAAAATCTTCAGTGCCTTTCATTTGTCCTAGGATAAACTTCTGGATGATCTATAAGCCCATTTTTCTATTCTTTGCTTTTGGTGTTTTCTATGACTTTCTATAATCAAGCTGGTAAGTAAATAAATAGTATCATAAATTCTGTAAATAGTATCATACTACCATCTATTTTAGGACTACATTCTTTCCTGGATTATTTTATAACCACTGATTGAATATCCAAAATATACTTGCATAGCTTCCAGAAAATTTTCCTGCATTGATTTACCATTGTATGCAATTATGTTATTAGTAAAATTATTTGATTAAAGTCTATCTCCATCATTAAACTGTAAGGGAGCAAGGATAATATGTGTTTTGCTCCCTAACTTACCACCAATGCCTAGTATTTTGCCTGCCATAAGGTTAATGCTAAAAAATTGTTGAGTGAATAATAAGTGAATAAGTACTCTGAGTGCAGTAAAGCCAAAATTCAAAACCAAGCATGCTGGATATAAAAGCCTGTATTATTGCGAACCATATTATATCCTCCAGTTTTGCCATTTTGAAGCAATATTTAGCTCAAGTAATATCGTATTCAGTTTTCATCCTACCTGGTTTGGCACAGAAAATTATAGTCATTAACTCCATCCACGTCTAGACTTAAAGTGATAAAGCATAACACTCCCTAACTAAAACCCAATGAATTATAGGTTAGACATATCCCTCTCCCTTCCCACTCCCAAGATGAAATCGTGGAGGTACTGCTTTGTTTTCCTCCTCTAGGAAGTAGATTTTCCTACTTATCATATCTAGTGTCTCTGGCCTATGGATCCCATTTTGTTTTCTGGTACTTTTCAATATTTTTTTAAAAAAATTACTAAATATTTTGAAAATATTCATCTTAATTAAGATCTTTTTTATTTCTAGGTTGAATCTATATGGTTTCCATATAAAATGATAAAATCAGTTGCTTCAATTAAGAGTTTATTTTACTTACTGAAAAGATTTTGTGAAGTCATTAAATTTGTGATTTAGCTGAGTGTTAGAACATAGCATCCCACCTTCTAGACAGATACGATATTCATTTATGTATGCATGTATGCTTATATACTTGTATGTGGGTATGTATGGTTCCTGTTTAATTCTGTGTCTTCAGGTCCTACTTAGGATCTTAAGCAGTACATATATAGCATAAGTTGGATTCAAGCCACTCTCCTGCACAAATAATTCTCCTGCAAGGGCAATTCTCCTTCATGAAATCCCAAACCACCTCACTTGGTCATTAAAAGACAAAGTAGTGCTATCCTTTGTTGCCTTTTTCATACATATGGAATAGCTACTTCTGGCTGAAATTTTTATTTTCATTTTCAAATTTGACATCTCACTGATTTTATATTTTGGCTGTCTTCCAAATAAATTGTGATGTCAGCAAAATAGTTTAAACATCAGTAAACAGTGGTTAGGGCAGGATATGTTGTAACTGACAAACATTTGCTCTGGTTAATTCTTTCAGTCATTCTGTAAGTAAAATAAAGTTATTTAATCGAAACAGCTAACTTGATTACCTTGTATAGAAACCATAAAGTCTATAACTGAGAGAAGAGTCTTAATTGTGATAGTTATTTTCAACGTATTCTGTAATTTTATATTGTTAGAAAATGCAAATCAATTTTTAAAAACCTGTAATTTACACACTGCCATAGATAATTAATATTAGCCACATCTGTATATATTTATGTACATGTATTAACGTCTACAATGACTTCTACATAAAAATAATCAAAGTAAAGCCTAACTTATTACCTGCTTCCAAACTTAAAAATCATGTAGTTATCATGCCATTTTAATAATAGACATCATTTTTTAAAACTAAATAGTAGTTTTAGTTGTTTGTTTGAATATTCATACTTTCACATCCTCTTGTAAAGAATTTATGGTTTTTGTAAGTGTTATTATAAAGAACATTTTCATGAACATCCATGAAGCTAAATCTATGAGCTCCCCCCTAACTCATTCTGTAGGACAAATCCCCGAGAGAGAACTCAGTAGTCAAAAAGTACGCAATAAAAAAAAAAAGTAAGCACTGTTTATATGGGTTTGGTTAATTCTTTCCAGAGCTGCTCTAAATTAGCTAAGCAAACAAATAAATAATTAATGAGCAAGTAAAATAAAAGTGCCCAATCTGACTGAGAATAGTTTATTGGGACACTACAATATATCAGATATTTTTTCTAAAACTATTTCAGATGATGTGAAGTGTGTGAAAGAAAGAAACTCTTTACTCTCGATATAATAAGATAATACACAACTATAAAAGAAGTGCCTACACATATGTAGAAAAGCAGACAGATATAATAAAGTTTAAGAAGAGAGCATCATTAGAACAATCTGATTAGTTAAGAAAGGTAATATGAAAAAAAATGGTTTTTAAAGATTAGATTAGATTTTAAGATTTAGTGAGGTCAGGGTAATATTCCAAAATGGAGGAAATCACATCATCAAAAGCAATAATTAGGGCCATATGCTTAGGCCACATTAGAATAAGAGACTTTTCAAATGGAGGCACAATTAGGAAGTAAAGACTGTTGGCGATGCTGAGGACACTCTGTGGAAGGTCTAAACCGGGATAGAGGATGGGGCACTTGACGTCTGTGACAACTGAGAAACCAAGCAGGCTCTGGAGAAAAGCAGATGGAGATTTGGGAATACCAGCCTCTTAGAAGTTTGTCATTGTGAAGCAATTAATTTGTCAGAGATGGCAACATCAAGATTTACAAAAAGGTGTTGGCAGCAGAAATGGCATGAATTTGCCCCAAAGATGCATTACTGGAGATAGAAGTTTTGGGAAATATAAAGGTACCTGGACGGAGTTTTAACGATAGGTCATGAAGAAGGAAGAGTTGAAGATGATTTCAGTTTTTCTCTTTTGTATATCTAGAAGAAAGGTGGTGCCTCTTATTTGAAATGGGGAATAAAGAAGAATTAAGCTCCAATAAGCCCATGTGCTTGAGCCAGAACTGCGTAATATTCTTTAATTTTCTGTTCAATTGTAGTTGGCTGGATGCTGTCTGTTTGCCCCTCCTCCCTTCTTCTTTCCACCCATCACTCTATTCTGTACCTCAGGAGACTAATCTCTATGAATTTCATAAATCAGGCTCTCTTGACTCTGACTTCAGATTGGTTTTGAGATGTCATAGTGGAAAATGAGAAGGCCACAAGAGAGATGGGCTGAGGTGTTTATTGAACTGCCCTCCTCTATGCTAGCCAGGAATCTGGTCCTGCTTGCATTGGATACCTCAGTCCACATCTCCTAAATCTGCAGGCTTCTCCTGGTTCCAGTGGAGCTAACAGTCCCAGGATGTTTTCCCTATCTGTGGGTTTCTATGAACCCTTCCAACACTTTATAAATGGCTTCTTTATCATACAGCCTACAATTATCCCTTTTAAAGTGGAGCCATCATTTCTTGCTGGGATCTTAAGTGACAAAATCGATGCAAGAGCTCTGAGTTTTCTAAGAAATGGCTTATTACCTCATGATGTTCAACA